TGGATTGCCCCTTCACTTTGACAAACAACCTGGCATATATTTATCAGCACTTAACACTATGCAAACAAAGGATAAAATACAAAGACTTCTAGAAAAGACAAATGTAATGCATCTGCCCATTTCGTAGTTGCTTCTGTAACACCACTGTAATTTTTGTATTAATATGAAACCATATAACTTTAATATTAACTGAACACTTACGGTTAAATGAAAACATACTCACCTTCAGCTCCAAATTTATACAATGTACTGAAATGTGTTGAAATGACAATTTTCTCATTACAGGGTGCAATGATTTCCCTTTGCCAGAATCTTGTGGCATTGTCTGAAGAGCTTTAATATTTCTTTGTTAAATGATAACTAAAATATATGTCTTATTAATTTTTTTATAAAAATGAAAACTATCTCTTTCAAACTGAATAATACTCACATAGTCCCCACTCATTCCCTTTCATCATGCTTGTCTCTTTTGTAAACCTATTTTACATAACATTCAGGTCCTCACTGCCCCCCACCCACTCCCCCGTTCTCACAAGTAAAAAATGATATGTTTTAAAGGACGGGAATATGGGGAATATGTAACCACAGCAGGGCATTGTTGAAATTGTGTACCTCCTAGTTTCCTTGCTGTTTGTCCTCTGGTGGGTGATGCAGTATGAAGAGCAGGGAGAACCGGCATTGATGATGCCACCCAACAGGGAAAAATAAAATGTGCTGGGTAGTTCTAATTGGTTTTATTTTATTTTCAAGAAGACAGTCTCTCTAAACTGAGCTTCATAAATTTCTATTTTGGGGAACTATCAGAGATGTCAAATTTACTGTATCTTGGGTAATCAATTTCTGCATTTGAAAAAAAGGAGTATTTAAATATTTGCCTTAGTTTTAATGATATATCCAGGATGTTTCAACTGGGCGATCATTCTTTTTTCAGGTACATTTTCATGCTTACGGTATTTAAGTGCCCAAATAATTATTGTTTCCTATTCATTCCATAAATTAAAACCAGACTTAGCTGCCTAGATTTATCATAAGTCAAAATTATGATCTGTATAGGTGGCTCTAATAGATCTCTCCAGTGAATGACACTTTTCAAAGGATGCCATCTTATTGTTTATTTACCTACACTAATATGTGTAATGAAATAGTTGTCTTTTCCTTCTGGAGGAAGCAGCATCTGTCATTCACAATACTGATATCACTGGTTTTCATATGCCTAGTT